TTTTCAGCTAATCACCGCCTTCCCTTGGGATGCGTGAACCTCTTTTTTACTGCGACACGGTAGTTCGGTTAAGATGATTGAAATACCAGCTCCCAGGGGATGCAAGAGAATTGCAAGGAAGAACTGTGTGCATTTCACACTGACCAAAATTGTGGTATTTTACCAACTGAGCGAAGGCAATTTTATCTGCAATTTATGCAACTTAAGCCCAGGGAGGTCTTTTTTGCACAACTGAAAAGGGAATAAGATCATACCACTTGAAGATTCCCTGGCGTTGTGGAAAGAATTATGTTAACTAATTGAATTGACTTTTTGCCACCAATTAATTGGTTTTTTTTTTGGTGGCGACCGGAGTCTGAATTTGCGAACAATGAACGGACCCGCACGACTACACATCTAACCTTTATTCCTTGTGGTGACAGTCGGAACTCGGGTTCACAAACAGAACTGGAATATAGCCGCCACTAATGCAGGGAAACAGTTCTAAACTTCGCGAGAAGCAGATGCGGCGAGCGGGACTAGGAGAGCCTTGAAATCCCCCTATCTTCTAGGGTCTATAGTATTTTAAGAACCAGACCAGTTACAGCTGACTATGATTGCACTTGAACGCAGTGACTGATCAGGAAGGCTTATGACCAACTTGTGAAAAACTCGGCGGTCTCGATGGGATTCGAGCCCTCGAAAACAAGGAGCAGGTTTTAGTACAGCCTTCTTATTGCTATCGCGAGTTCGAATCCTACATAGATCGCCCAATTTTTAACAACTGAGTCAAACGCACTATTAAAATCTGCCAAACGCCCCTATTGATAAGGAATAATTTCCTTTCTAACAGTGCGGAATATGTGCGGATGGTAATAGCATGGGTGAAGGCGGTTTCTTACGTGCTACGCCAGCCAGTTTCGATATGAACAAATTCACGCACTACTGTGATACCCTCGGGACACTGATGGTCCGCAGCCGTCGCGATGGGGTTAAATGTTCGTGTTTAAAATGTCCGAAGGGCGGGTACACTACAGAAATCATGGTAAGCAACACTGTGAGAGCTAAGAGTGGACAGATTCAAATTTATTTGCTGTCTGAACAGGTTAGGTGCCAACAAGTGCAATACTATTTCAATTAGCAGCAAGCAAGCTTTGGCAAAATTTGATTTTAAAATAGAGGTTACTTACAAATAAAAAGTATACCGTATGAATACGCGAAGCCTTCCAATGTAGCACAAGTATTTCACGCGACGCGGCGGTGCAGATACGGAAATATAAGGAATGTATTTTCAAAATTTATGATATCTAAAACTTTTAGAGTGTCTAAAGGATAAGAAAATAGACAAGTGAAATCGATTTGCTTTCTTCTTAGCTTTGCCTATGCTGAAAACTAGGAATACGCATAATACGTCAATACAAGCGAAAATGCGAGTCGCAGGGGCTAATTTAGAAGGAGCAGATGTTATCGCCGGGACAAGAATTTTTGTCACCTGTCGTTTCGGATTTCTTCGCGGATTAGTCACCAGAACCAGTAGCAGAAGCGGGTAACGGATACACAGGAATGAATTACTCATTATTTATTCAACCCGAACCTGGAGATATGAAAGTTGCGCCTCAGAGGATTGGTCACTGACCTGGAAAGTCTCAGAGAAAGGACTTACAGTTAACATAAAGTCTCTCACTGAGTCGCTGGAGGGCCTGATTGCATAATCTCCTGTATTTCTACGGAAACTTCAGGGCGCGTAAGCAGACCTGTGATCACGGACTAATTTGAAAGGCCATTTGAAAGCGCTAGCAACTAGACCATTCGTCATTTAAACTCGACATTCAAGTCGCTCTAGGGCAGTTACACACTACGCCTCGTAAGCCGAAAATCATGAATAATTGCAATGATAAAATGAATGAAACTTTCGAAAAAATTAATTTCCCAGCCACGAGAGAAGTAGGTAGAAATATTCTATCGTCAGCCCCCAGTGGGTTTTGACGGCAGCTAAACTTCATTGTCTTCAGCTTGAATAAATCCGTCACTTCGAATCTTTACTTCAACGAAACTTTCGTTAGGGATTCAGAGTATACTGCAGTGATTTATTGTTCTGGTCACCAGTATCTTCCCAGAGCCTTAAGAGAAATAAGCCAGAGAGTGATATCTGTCCTTCCTTGTATGATAGAACCCCAGAAACGTATCAAGAGGTAACTAAAAGCAGAGTCCGAACTTTTGCAGGAACCATTCCGTGGCACATAAGCATCATTAGATTAAGCTTTTTAAACGAATTCTGACATGCTTTGATGTAAAGCCACCTAAGGGCATTGTTTTTTAGTTCAGACAATTAGCCAGGATGTCGGGACTATTCAGTGAACCGCGAGATGTATCTCTTCAAAATAATTTCAAGAAATAGGCGCCGTTAAAACAATTACATTCCAGTGAAGGAAAGTCCTGATCCAATTGGACGTCCTTGTAGTTGCAGAGTGGTGTGAAAATTATCCAGTTTATCAGGCGGTTAAATGGAACAAGGAACAGAACAGCCTTGATGGACGCTGGAGTTTTGCGGTGAAATCCTATCTGGGTGTACTATAAGTTCGAACTTTTGGGAATTTGAGTTTAGAGGACAAACTATAACCCCCAAGAGGGCCCATCGGTCGGCCAAGTCGGACAAGCTGATAAGTTCATGAAAATGAATAATTGTCTCCAGTTGAAAACGAAGTACATGGTGAGTGCACGCTCATTGATTGGTTACAGGACTAAGTCGTCCCCTATTTCCTCGGGGCTTACTCTCGGGTCCCCGCCAGCAGCCGCAAAGCGGTTAGTAGTGTAGGTAGAAAAGCATTACCGGCAAAGGCCATCGAGACTGGAATGACCATCTCTGGCTTCTTAGCTGTCATTAGAAAGCCATGCCCGACCGCAGGCGTTGCAACGCCTATGGTTCCAATCGATTGGTGAGCGTGCATACACCCTTCTTACTATTCCCGATCGAAACCGACAAGAAGACGAGCCCGTAACTCAATGGTCAGAACGCTAGTTCTTTAAACAACGGGTCGTGGGTTGGAGCCATAGGTCTTGTAACACCTTGGGTTGAGTATGGGGAGTTGATGGTGGCTAACAAACCACAAATGGCCATTCGAGTCTCCCCCGTCCTTTTTGGTAAGGTTCTTCCGACTACACGTTCTAAGTTTGGTCGAAGGAATAGTTGATCGATCCAGTCACTGCTAGGAAAAAGCATTTTTGTTGATTCCTATTTTACTCAATGAAGCCGTTTGAGGAAAATAATTCCGAACAGCAGCATGACCAAATAAGCAAAAAGCCCGTGAACACCCACCATTTCTTCTTCATTGAAAAAAAAACATTTTTTTTCCATTTAACGGGGGACATTTCATGTGAAACATCTGAAATATCTCCTGAAGTCACCTAAAAATTACATCAGGCCAGTTCTGACGGACTTCAACGGACAGTCTATCCTTATGCACAATTCCGTTGCTTGAGGCATAATAGATTTCGGCGACAGAGAGCGATGATTAGTCACACGCAGACATTTTGTAGATGAATGCAGGGAGAGTCAAACAGACAGAAGTGAGGCACTGCTCTTGCCAATAAAACAATATCTCATCCGCCAACAGTATAGGCTGGTCTGCTCTAAGGAAAACCAAATAGACAGCAGACTAGGCCGTACGGGAGGCCTGATGCCGAATTGAATTGCACAATTGCTAGGAACCACCATGCGTGTCATTATACACGTCAGCTTAAAGGGAGATAGAATCGCACATAGATGAAAACCAATAATGAAAGTCTGCAACTTAGCGGACGATGTCCAAAAAGCATGCAAATTCGAATGAAACAGTAAGAATTGCAGGCATTCGTCTGACAAAATTGCATTCTTTATGACTCTTCAATTTTTAATTGAAAAACCAATCAAGACTTTCTGACAAAGGTTGACTGGCAAAATCAGTAAGAATCACAGAGGTTTATACAAAAATAAGACCGTCCACTGCTGCCTGTTTCAGTTGTTCTCGCATACTTCTCTCGGATTGACGTCGATAGCGCTCCAATTCTTCGTCTTTGGCTTGCCGAACACTGTCCACCTGCGGCTCAGCAAACTGTTTACTCAGTGCCGGGTCAAATTTGGCATTTAAACCAGATTCATTTGGAACTGGAAGTGCGACCTTAGATCAGAAATGCAGCTTATTTAAGAACAGAATAGGAAACGCTATTTAAAATAAATTATTTGCTTAAATTAGCTTATCAAAAAGGAAACACTGCAAAATGTTCCAGATAATGGTTCTGTTCATCGTGGGAGTCTGCAAACCCAAATTTAAAAACGTCAGTTCTGAAACACGTTTATATAAAGATAATCTTGTTATCAATTAACTACGTTTCCCGAACATATTAGCCTTTGGAAACTAGCACGTTAGTTCTTAAAAAGCTTTAATAAGTAAAATGGCGCATATTAAAGAATGTTGGTGATTACAAACAGTGTACGCAGGTTAGATCAAAATGGTGCATAATAAATAGTTGTCGGGGACCTGTGCATCAATAAAAGCTTATAGATGAGGGCAGCATTCATATTCATAGGATAAATCATGCATCTGGCGGACTTCGAGTTGCACCAATGGAAAATGCTATTGAAGATATAAAAACCTCCCATGTTCTAGGTAAGAAAGGCCACATTTTCTATTTAATTCTATTGTTGGAGAAGAGAGAATACCTGGTTGTTTTAATTCTTAGAAAGAGCTAGAGTGAGTTTTGCCGAGGTTTTTGAAGAGTGAGCTAGACGGTGTGGTACTCCCTGAATTTCTTTATCCTGTTGCATTTGCAAACAAGTGCGAGCCATTGGAGTAGAAAGCAGAACCTCTGGAGGTGACGCCTACCGACTATCCTCAGTGACTTTGTTGGTTCTTTCCCTTTTCCCCCATTTTCCCCTATCCTGAACAGTGTTCCAATCTTAGTGCCTCCCGCTGGCCCCTCGTTCCCTTTGTGACGTGTTCCCGCTATTCATTCCTACTACTATACGTTTTTGCCAAACCTGAGTACTTCCTCTGGTTTGATTGAGATTGTATTTGATATGACTAGGAGAGGCAGAAATCGAAAGTCGGGAACTGACGAACTGTTTACATCTACAGTCTGCTCGACACCACAGGCGGTGCCTAAATACGAAACCACTGGCTTCTCCGACTCGATAAGTGGCTCGCACACTACACTATAAAGAAATTTAATTATATACAGATATGGATCCAACATATTGAGAGTGTTTATACTAGGCCATCATCAACATAACCGCATGAGTGGCTCTAGCCTACGTTAGTTTTTTGTGATTCTACTCGCATAATTTTACCTTACGTAAAGAGTGACGAAACGATATTTACATTGTTTATTTTTGGGCATGCAAGAAGCATATATGTTTATTGAAATTAACTGTGTCGCCCAAATTATACGCCAAACTTTACACACTTTTACGGTTAGCGTAAACAAACGATCAAAATACCTGCGGAAATCTTTGGCAGAAAGCGGACTGCCAAAACGTGAGCGGTGATTTTTCAGATCCCTTTCGCAATTCCTTATCGACTGGAGGAAAGCCTTTAATAAAAAAATTTATCAGCACGCACAAGATAAAAGTCATGTTAGCTGATAAATAGAGAACAAAGTGGCATTTATAGCACAAAGAACCAACTAGTCGTTTTTTTTATATAAAACACGCTTAAATGTGCGTTTTGATGTACGCCAATCAAAAGTATATTTCACACTTTAACCTTGTTCTGATGGAGAAGAAGACAACTCGATCGCTCGGATAATACTTTTATTCGTCTGAAGTTTCGACATCCGTGGCGGACTCATCATCAGAGATATAACCAAAAGAACAGTAGCAGAAAAAAATGGATGGGGAAATTATGTGCATTGTAAAATAAGATATAGTCCCGTTAAGTAAATTTATAGGAGAAGGGACATACCGATTAATGCAAAAGAATCCTGTCCTGGGAGAATATGCAACGGCTTATCTTGTGTTATTGGGGGAATAATAGCATTTGGAGTTCCAAAAGCGATGTGGCTGAGATAATTTCCAATTCTTTTCTTTGCCGTCGGATCAGATGTACTCGTAAACTGAACGTGACAAATGTACAAGGACACATACGAACAATGCACCTCCGTAAAAATGGGCCACAAAACGTAAAAAAAGGGTTATCAACTTCCGATCATCTTCTTTTTGTTTCTTTTTAAATAAATTAGGAAAATGGGTTACCAGGAACTCATCATATTTACTCCCTATTATTATTAATGAGACTGGAAAAATATTCATTAGTTCTCTGTCTGAGTGTTTTTCATCAATACGCGCCTGCGCTTTTGCAAGAATCTCGTGGCGTAAATTTTCCTTTGACTTGATTGAAATTCTTTCGAGCACCTGCATTATTCTAACTTCATATGAAGACAAAAAATGTGTTAAATTGACCCAAAGTTCTTTGGGGGACGATAAATCAACAACTACAATATAGCATAAGTTTCTAGTACCAAATAAAGCTTTAAAGCAAAATTACCCTACACTGTCTTTCGAAACCGTTACATCAAGTAAATTCGAAAGTTTAGGTCCACCACCAAGTTCCCATATATGTGCAATGGATTTTGCCTATCAATTGTAAGGGAATATCTAAAATCCAAACCACATATGGACCCAAACTCTTTCGTGCAAAGTTGTATTCCAGGGCTAAAGTAGGCTTAGGATTTTCATCCTTTTCCAGGAATGCGTTGATAATAGTAGTTTTCCCCTGATTATAAGTTATGAAGCCAAATTAGGACGAACACATGATCTTGCTCCGGCAAATACGAGCACTGCCTCATTTAAGCGGTTCTTTTCTGTAGTATTTATGAAAGCATCAGTATTATACTACCTTGTTTAAGCGTCTTTTGTCGCACTGCCAGATCCCACAATGACTGCGTCATTTTCAAAATTGCGAATCTCGTAACTATCTCAAAATCTACACAGATAAACAGCGTCAATCGTATGTCCATGCAATCATGTTGCAGATATAAAGGGCAAATGCTGGTTAGCCGGCTGACTGAATATTTATCTTCATCTTCGGTAAAATAATTTAAAGCCAAACAGGACACTTTGAAATGCGCAACGGAACCGAACAACTGGAATTTATTGGCGTTTCATGGCAATTCTGACTGTCGATAAAAAGGAAGAACAATACATGGTACGAGGTGAGACCGAGGATAGTGGTTTAAACAGAAAGACCGAAGACATATGAATGATGAAACAAATATAAAATCGAACCAAATACGTAGAAATGAACCACGGAATAATTAGAATAAATACTTGAAAAGGAATATGAAATAAGTTAGTGCGAACCAAATGCTAGCAGCGTGGAGACTGCCAAAAAACCACTGTGAAATGAAATTGCGGTAAGGCGACCGTCATAATTTCAAATCTTGTGAATCAGGAATTAACAACCATCACCGTGTCTAAATATTAAGGCTCTACGACTACGGAGTTCTCGTTGACGCTTGTGGGCGGAACGTGGAGAGGACGTATTCAACTGTTCCTATATGTGCAAATACGAAGACACGGTAATAAGAGCTTTAGAAAAACTTAAAGGCTGCGATTATTTTGAAAAAAATTTGTATTTGAACTTTCTTACGCATTGCTGCAACGCTGATACCTTTAAGTCAGTTTACTAAGGGAAGAAGGCTTTCGCCCCTGAGCTCCTATTCAACGCAAAAATTGCAAGAGTTCCACCTTAACAATAGTACACAATACAAATGTATGTTTAACATCAGCGATGCGTGTGAGCCATTTGGAAACTGCTGCTACTGACACTGTGTTTATTATATATATAAAAGTTTCACAGCAAATGGGAATGAAGTTTGTCAACAATATCTGAAAGGACCACGTCGTCAGAGATGACCCTCTGCGAGAAGGCATTCCGTCGAAAGTCCATATCGGCGGGCTTCCTCTGCAGTTTAAATAGATGACCCCACAGCTGATCCTTTCACTCCAATTTGAAGAATTCATCAAATTCTAAGGCGCAATCACGGCCTCAGACAATTTGTAGGCTTGGATGCGGTCACCGTGGAATTGACTGTAATTGAGAGGAAATAAGTCAAGCTTAGTCAATCTGTCTTCATAAGGCAGATGAACAAGATTTTTGACCATCTTTGTAGCCCTCGCCTGCACTCGTTCAAGGTGCAGATAGTCCTTCTTAAACCACGGACACCAGGCCTGGACAGCATACTTCAAGTGGGACCGAACAAACTCTCCGTACATTTTTCTGAAGCCTTCCTTGTCGATGCGGACAAATCCCCGTCTAATCGGAAACAGCACCTGTGTCGCGCGATTAGATGCCTTTAGACACTGTGAAGATGGTGTAAGCGAGGAATTTATTAGAACACCGAGGGCTTTCTGTACGTCAACATTTGAAAGGGATAGCCTATCGAGGAGGTATTGGAAGGAATCATCCTCCTCATTGGTCCTTCTAGTACGAAGTCTTAAAACCACACACTTACTAATGATGAAATGTAAGAGGTAACCAGCAGATTAGCTGGTAATTCGATCGAGACTTTCTTGAAGCGCTTTCCTATCAGCGTCAGAACTGATGGCTCTCCAGAGTTTGACATCGTCAGCAAACATGATGGCGCTGCAACCAAGGTAGTCGACACAGTCGTTGATATACATAAAGAAGAGCAGTGAGCGTAAGAGAGTCTTGGGAGACGAACCTTAGAACAGATGTGGGGGTTGACTTCGAGTCGGCGATGCACGCAGTTTGCGATCGCCCTGTGATAATGAAACGTCTGATCTTCTATAAAATCGGACAGCCTATTTAAAAGTCATCTAGAAAAATTAGGTCATTCCCGTAGTGAAACAACGCTCCCGTGGAAATTTCACTTTTTGTATGTATATGTATGTGTTTTAATTGACTTACAAACGATGTAGGGTAGGAATAAACCGTAAGACCGTCTAATGAACTGAACTGGATTGTAAATGAATTGTGCTAATGGTATTGTGAGTCAGTATATGAAATATTTGGCGGCTAAACGTGTAGCCAATAAAAATGCAGGATGAAGTACCGACAGCCAAGCAGGCGTTTCAACGTTTTTTGCGTATTGTATTTACTATTATTTTATTTTACATAGTTCTTTAAATTACTAAAAAAAGGAAATGGTGGTTAGGAGGTCGTCTTGTAGCGCCCGGGCACGTAGGTTCCTCTGTCGGGAGGGTTTCCTCCGGTAT